CGCATATCCACTCGCGGGCTTTCTGCACTTGCCGTCCCTAATTTGGAAGTGATAGCCCAGTAGAGAGGCAACTGATCAACACCACCCACCATCAACTCTTTAGCTATTCTTTACCAACGAAAATAAAAATTGAGCGTCACATTGTAACGCCGCCACGGCTGAAAGGGCGAGCATGTTTGGTAACGGGTCTCGAGCCCGCGACGTGTAAACTGCGAATCAAGCGCCCTAATCACCAGGATGTGCCAAGCCCTTCTTCAAACAGACAGTGAACCAGAAATGTGGAACCAACACAGAACGTTAATTGGAAAGTAATCTTAGTTGGAATGGGTTTATTAAGAAGCTTTCACAATAAGCAGCATGTTGCAGTCCCAGGTGAAGGAGCTGTTCAAAGCAGAAATAATAATAATAAGATTCAATGTCTGTGTGTCACGTAACTCCTCATAAACCTCTGGACTCACTAACGTCTAAATGGTGCCAAACGAATCGTCTCGGTCCCGAAGCTTGCATAAAGGTAAACGTTTTCATCCCACCCCATGTTGAACCCCGGAGATTTCACGGAAACCCCTTCTCCTAAAATGCTGGACTCATTAACTTCTAAATGACTTCAAGGTTTGCACAAAGATAAAACTTTTCACTCAAACCATTAGGGAACCCGATTATTTCGTGAAAACATTTTTACGGGGATTCCCCGAAAGCGGAGCCCAAATTTCGCATTGATTTATATTACAGCATTTAAATAAGTAAGCCTACTAATTACCGTTCGAGACTTGGCTAAAGAAATTAAATCTGCGTTATAGCGGAAATTATCATTAAATTGAAATAATGGAAAATAGTAGTTCAATCACTAAATCTGTACTATAGCGGCTCTGTAAATGTGGACCATAGGCCCACGGGTTCGCCAGCATTCTATAATATGCATCATGTAATATATGTTATAGCCATTAACTGACAAACTATTTCATATGTATTGTATATATATATATATATATATATATGATTATTGTAGCAGTTCAAAATATAAATAATATTCCATAATAGGCGGAATGTAATATATGTTATCGGCATTAACTGACAAATTATGCCATAATATGTGTTGTTTGTGCACACACACACACACACACATATATATACACACATACACGTATATATATGTGTGTGTGTGTGTGTGTATATATATATTACTGCTGTAGTAGTTTAAAATAGAAATAATCTGACCTATATAAAAGCCAGCGTGCGTCACTCCACGCTTGCTTTCTCTTGATTTATCGAAATAGGAGGAGTCAAGAAAGCCAAAATGCCTTTATCCAGATAGAATAGTTCGATTACTGTCTGCCCATTACGATTTTAGTGACGGGGGTGAAAGGGGCCGTGAAACCCTATAAGTGTAGTGAGTGTTGGTATAATAAGCCTAAAGTAAAGACGTAGTGTGAGATCACCTAGCCTAGAGCCAAGATCATATAATTTATCATGAAAGTAAAAATATCGATTTAATTTGAAAATGAAATTTGACGGGCTATACACTAGTATTCTATAATATGCAGTATGTGATCTATGTTATTAACATAAACTGATAGTCTATTCCATAATATATATGTTGTCTGTATATACATAAATATTATTATTGTCTGCTATTAGTACTTTACAACAGTAATGACTAACAAATGTTCGTTTTCTGCTTGTACCTGATTTTCTAGGTTTGCAATATACTTTATTGCTTTCATATGTCTTAAGTTATAGAATCTGTGGACTGACTATGTATCGATTTGTTCTAAAGTTATTACATTTTTGTGATATCTTGACTATGCGTATCGTTCACACTGCGCTTTCAGTTGTTACACGTTTTCAAAGTCGGTGCTTAGTCTATGATCTACTTGTTATTAAACAACCTACAATGTGGATATATGTACGAATAATTCCAAAGTCGTAAATAATTTATTATGCCACGGAAGTTAACAACAAAAAGCGTTCAGTGGGCATATATCTACAGTACTATGTTACTCTTATTCTTTTGGCAACCAAATAATGTGAAGCTTAATATTAACTACAAAATTAAGTCATTAAGTAACTTGGTACAAGCTTAGAGGAACTCCTAAATTTGTAAAATTTTTAATTTATGATCTACGTATGTATTGTTTTCTGATTATTATTGTTAAACATATTTTATTGTATTTTTCTAATTGCAACTTAGAAACGAAAATAACATATATTCGTGTGACCTTGGGTAATGTTATTTCATTGGGTTTCTTCTACGGGTTCATTGTTGAAAAAGTGAAACTGTTATGATACAGTTCTGATTATCTATACTCAGTTTTTGTTGTTGTTGTCTCCTCCAATTTTTCTGTTCATAAATACTGTTTTGGATAAGTATAGATAGTTGTGGTTGTTTACTGAAAACGCCACGGTGAGTTTTTGTGTATATGTATGCCTGATAAACCGTTACCTTTACAACTATCATAGCATCGTGTTACAAGTTAAGTTGTAAATGAAGCATTAACTCATGGTTGCCAAACAACTACAAAGTGTCATTCATTAAGCATATAGTTCTGTGATTGAAATATTGATTTCTCGTAATACTTACAAATTTTCATTTCGAAGTTTATGGTCGAGATTAAATGTCAAACAAAATGGTATAAATAATTTCAAAATACGAAAGTTGATTTGACTACGTTATAGTAAAATGATGTTGGAGCCTCACCACAGTGTTACCGTAATGAATATATATTAAAAATTAAATCTATAATCTGTAATTTAATAAAAAAATCTAAAAAAGATATTCTTTGATATTCAAAATTCACTTTAAAGCTATAATGTAATATCCGAATTACAAACGAATATAATGTCTAATAAGTAAAACGTATTAGTATATAAACATTAGTATATTGTTTGCAAAACCTACTTCTATTATGTGATATAACATGTTTAACATATTAATAGTATTACATTGGAAAGTTAACAGTTGTTGAAACACACACTAAATTTAAAGAATATCTGTAGAAGTGGAACTAATTTACAAGATAGTTTGATGTAGAAATTGGTTTCATATAATAAACTTACAGATATTATCCTTGTTCACCTCAACTCCATTGTATCACATTACAATCTAAAATGACATAGGTTGAAAACACGTATGAGGTATCTTAAGTGTCATGTAACAGGAAGAAACTAATAGTTATACACGGTTTGAACTAGAGCAGGGTACATACTACCAGTACCAAAGTGTTATAACTAAAGAAACTAATAGTTCTACATGGTTTAAATTAGAGCAGGGTACATACTACCTGTACCAATGTGTTATAACTAAAGAAACTAATAGTTCTACATGGTTTAAATTAGAGCAGGGTACATGCTACCAGTACCAAAGTGTTATAACTAAAGAAACTAATAGTTCTACATGGTTTAAATTAGAGCAGGGTACATACTACTTGTACCAGTGTGTTATAACTAAAGAAACTAATAGTTCTACATGGTTTAAATTAGAGCAGGGTACATACTACCAGTACCAATGTGTTTTATTTAAAGAATAAGACTTTAGTGAAATGCTTTGTGTGTATCTTAACCGAGATAAATGAACAATTGTAAACTGAATAATTGACACCATAGTGATAGATCTAGAACTTGATTATAGTACACATTAACTTGCCTTCTTCCCTGCTGATCTTCGTGAAATCTTCTTAGTTCTTGACATGCTTATTAGATGCCAATTTGTGATTGGTTACCTGTTGATCTGTCTGTCTGTCTCAAGACTTTCAAAGATTATTTTGTGCAATGATAGTTTAATTTCTTCTTACTTCTGGTGTTCTCGTTTCATTCGTCTTTTTGAGAAATGATTGAGTTATTTTTTATGCATACTTTACCTTTGACCTCAGATATTAGAAAAAGCAAGTAGGTTCAAGAAATCAATTTAACACAAAGATACGATACCGTATAACCCCAGCGCTTTCGAAAGGTGAACAGTTTGCCCTTGAAGAAGAAAGGTCCATCTTTCGAAAGCGCTGGGGTTATAGGGTATCGTATGTGTCACTATCTTACTTTTCTCTTCCTATTGTCGGTTCTGATTGAAGTCGCTTACAAGTCTAACCATTTCTGTCCACACTAAAATTCACGTTGATTTACTAATTTCTTATTTTACTGTTTAAGTCACTGCCTCTCCTTCCCTAGCTGTTTCACTTACACTCCATCTTCCCAGGAGTAGTTTCATTGCTTGTTTTGTTTTTATTATCGATAATGTAGACCTTTCCACTCTCTGTGAAGTTACTGTTACAAATTTTCTGACATATCTTGTTCCTTCAACAGGTTTTCTTTATTTAACAATTGCAATCAAATCTACACTGTAAATCCCCTTTATATATTCTTGCTGTTCTAGCAAGTATTTTTCTCGCTAGTTATGAGGGGGGGGGGGGGTTGGAGGCCACGTGATCTGATATTAAATTTTTAGTATCACAATCTCCTTTACTGTTTGTGTACGTGCATGTAATGGGATAAATCTCCAATTCAATGGTCGTATCTGATCCTGTTACCAGACTACGACTTTCAATATAGTCCCATAATCTATTTCTCTGTTTCCTTTTCAAATATTAGCGCCTTGTTTGCTTACTTGAACCAAGAGATGCAAGCCAATCGTATTGCAGGGTTAAGAAGAATGAGAAAGGTTTAACTGTTAAGTGTAGTTTGGTTCTGATATTACGAACATGATCCTACTTGTATTGGGATAGTGCTTGGTGAAATCCCATACTTGAAGTTAAAGTACTTAAAACGTGTAGTGTTACATAGAAATACACTGTGTGTACCATAGCGAATCTGCGTACTTAGGGAGACATTCGACAATATAAGTATTCAGTTCATATTTAAAACCTGATGCTTATCTAGAATAAATACATTTAGCGTGGTGCACTGGAATAGATGATTGCTTTGTATTTTTAGCATACGTAATTAAAATATGATGTTATATTTTTACAATTCATAGTGTCTTTCTGAGGTTTATGTTCTCTATTTTTTTTCAGTCAAGAAAAACAACTAGAAAGACTCGCATAATAGGAAAGAGTACCTCGTCATGAGTAACAGCTCTCTCTGGAAGAAGCAGTCACGAGAACATATCACAACATTTCTTCAAAAGACGGAGAGAAATAATGAGAGCCATCTTTTGAATTTGATATAAATATTACCAATGTTAGCATTATGAACGACACATACTGGACAATTGACGAACCATTTCTGAACATTTCATTGGAGGAGATACAATGCTATATCAGTTTTTACTCCACAGCCAGTTTCTACAGCTCTGAAAATAGTAAGTTTATTTTATTTTTTACAATATATTCATAATTAAATAATCAATTATCGCAATCAAATTACGTAATTAGACTCCCTGAGTTCCTCTCTTTTCAGGAAAAATATTAATGTCAACAAAAACAACTGACACCCATATTATAATCCCAGTGGCACAGCGGTATGTCTGCGGACTTACAACGCTAGAATCCGGGTTTCGATACCTGTGGTGGGCAGAGCACAGATAACCCATTGTGTAGCTTTGTGCTTAATTACAAACAAACCCTTTTTATCTTTTTTTTAGATGTTTTATGACTTCATTCTCGCTTCTGATAATAGTTTTATTTAATTAAAAATTTCTATGTTTGTTTTTCCCTCAAGACTAAAAATTAGTAATTCTGATGTTTTAACAAGTTTTTTGTTTTCTAAAAAATAATAATGTTTGTCTTCACATCATCAATTCCAATTGAATTCTTGAAATATTCGAGCTAGCGCTTTGAGAAAATTTATGGTTGAGTCAAGTACCTATTGCTCAAGGGCTCACGCGTTTCTTTCACACTTAGAACTCCACCAGGTACAAAACAAATATCGCAAATTTATTTTCACTCGTGCTACAAATCAAGACGCAGAAATTCAATGACGGATGAAGCATAATATCTTCCTTCCTTGTTCTCTTTATTAAAAAAGGAATGTTGGAAAACATCACCACCCATCATTATTTTAAACGTTCAGTTAGTATTCTAATATTAGATCAGGCGTTAACTTATGGAAATGTTACAATTACGACCTGTTTAATGTTCTGTGCAAAGATAATTATATATGTGTATTTAATAGGCTATGCTGAGAAAAAAAAGACATCACAGAAAAAGTAATTTATATCCATTGATGCGATTTTCACCTCGAGCTTAAACACAGTTGGTGTTAATCTCAAATAAAAACTGTAATACCATTATATTGTGAAATTTACTTGCCTATCTTTTTGCCATTTTTGTCCATCTATATGGTTGTACAATTTCTGTTTTTTTTCAATGAACATCTTACGATCTTAAATTACAATATCAGTGCTCACCTTGGTTTCCACTGGCAGCCATTTCTGCCTGTTATCTTTACTAGATTCTATTGAGCTAAAGTTGAGAGAGCTGCTGTATTTCCTTTAAAACACATTAGATATCTTAATAGTTTTATGTTTATTGGTTTTTATTCGTGTGGTAAAATTACGTAATGAAATAAACAACGCTAGTTATTTCTTTGTAGCAGAACAAAACTATAGTTTTGCCGAGGTCTGATTTTTAACACGTTTTACAGTTTCTGCTACCATGCTATTAATATTGTTTTTAAAGTACTTAAGGTGCCTATTTGAATAATCGAACAGGAATTGAATGTCAGGGGAAAAAAGCTTGTTCTTTCCAGACGAAATTAATGTTTATAATGGCTCAATATTTTCTTCCAAAACCGATAATTCTTTATATTACCTATCAATCATTGAACTTTTAGGCTTGTTTTTATCGAATAAATTGTATCTAGAACATTTTTAGTACAAAATGGCTGTTTTCGCGCAAAGCTACACCAGGGATACACACAAACACACACATATATATATATATGCATATACATATAAGTGTTTCTGACTTGAGCGTGGAAGGAAGGCAACAAGTCATCAGTATCCCCCTCCCCCATCAAACTCTTCTGACATTATTGACTGACCGAATAATGATATTTAACCGTCATTCCTATAAATCGCACCTGAGGCCTTATAGTGCGGAGTGCGTTTTTTGTAGCAACAGGGCATGAACCATGAACATCTGGGCTGAAGAAAAATTAAAATATGAAGTAAACTCAGGATTTAATTTTTATTTTTTAATTCAGTGGAAATTCTGAGTTATATTTTGTCTATCAACGTTCACCTGTTCTCATTGTTTGTCAAGGTTGATATAGTTATCGAACTGCGTTGAGAAACATATTCTCGAAATATTAAAGCAGCCTTGGTAGCGTGACGGTGAGGTCGTACGGCAGCATGAAGTGCAACACGTCAAGAACAGCTATTGTAAATCTTTTATTTTTAGTAACTAAATTTCATAATACGCTATGTGCTCACCAGATGGATATAATTTAAAGAGCGAATAAAAAAAAGAGAGAGAGAGATCCTACCTACCTTTGAGTACCACGAGGAAACTGTAGTTAAACAATTTAAAGCAACAGGTTGAGGAACCAGCCTGATGAAGGCGTGTATTGTGTACATGAATTTATACAATATTACGAAAATATTGCTTTATACAAAAGCCACTGAGACTGGGTGTGATTTGAATTTATACACCTAATAAGAAACAAGTAAAACTTTTTTTTTACTAGATAGGCGTAACATGAAGATATGATGTTTTACACCATGAATACAGGAAGTGTAATAGGGTTTAATACAACGTGTTACAAAAGAAAATAAATATTTATACGCCCCCCCTAAAAAGCAAAAACAAAGTAACCTATGCACCACAAAGACAATCAGGAATTTGCAAATGAAGGTAAGTCTTTGTACACCAAAGTAAAAAGCCTCCATTGTATGTCTGCGGACTTACAACGCTAGTAACCGGGTTTCGATACCCGTGGGGGGCAGAGTACAGATAACCCATTGTGTAGCTTTGTGATTAATTGCAATTAATTATGT